ATCATGCAGCCTTTTGCTTTATTATAAACCTCACTAATTTAGTGGCTTAAACCAGCAAGTGTTTCTTATACTTTTGTAGATCTGCTGGTCAATTCTTTTAGTCTGGCCTGGCTGATTAGGGCTGAATGATTTAGGATGGCTTCACTCGTATACCTGGCAGTTGGCAGAATTTTTGGTTGAGGATAGACTTTATTCCCAATGAGCTTGATTTCAGGTCGGGCAATAGTCATGAGAATCTCATTATCTATCAGGCTAATAATTCCAACTCATTTATGTGGTGGCAGGAAAGTTTTTAGGAGCAAAAGAGGACAGACACTTTTTAAGTCATTGTCCTGTTGTCCACAGGAAGTCATATGGTTGAATCTAAAGTCATCATACATAGGAGGAGAAACTACTCTAGGTTGGATACAGAAAGGGAAATTATGGCAGCCGTTTTATAAACAGTACAACACAGTCACTATTTTAAGTTTTACTAGGCATGAATAGTGTACATTAAGGAATGAGGTAAGGTTAGACAGTGTGCATTTGTAGTAGGAACTGTGTAGTTTATAACTTCCTCTAGTAGTATGCAGCATTCAAAAACTTTAATCAAGAAGATGAGGTTAATTACTTAAGTTTTGGCATAATCAGAGGTGAGTATGTAAGAAGGAATTTTATAGAACTGCTGAGATGAATGATTCTGAGTTCTGCTGGGTCTGAAGGTGAGAGATACTAAGAATGTTTAAAGGACTCTAGAAAGAGCTCCAGGGACTGAGGAGGCAAGGAGGGCAAGTGACAGTGAGAGTAGATGAAGTAGGTTGAAGAAAAGAGATTTTGGTCAACAATGAATTTTTAGATTTGGGCATGCAGTGGATCTAGAAAATTATGAAATCCAAGATACAGTAGAAAGAATTAAAACTGGGAAATAGAAACTCTGATTCCAAGGTCTTGGAAAAATCCATTGCCTGAAGGTTTCAGTAAACCTCAGAGGTCCTTTCTGATGTTAACATTCCTTGCTTCTGTGAGTCTGCTTGATGTCATAGAGATGGATGAAAGTGAGACAAGATAGAAAAATTCTGGATTACTTGTTGAAGTCATTGTGCAACGTGGGAAAAGGTCCAGGAGCATACCAAAAACTACCGTAGAAGGAAAGATGGAATAATCTGATGGTACTGGTCTGAATGAAACTCATAGGCTTATTTTTCCAGTTAGGAAAATGTATTTTCTATCTTTTGTATCTACTTTAAAAAAAAATTGACTCTTTTCCTTTGTATTCATGTTTTTATTTAATTTACTTAGATACCTTTAGCAAATAGGGAAGACAGTTGAAAAAGTAGAGAGGGAGGTAGGATTTGTGGTTAAACATGGTTAAAGTTAGGAAGACATTCAGAGATTCAAAATTGAATTGCTGCTTATAACTCCAGATAAAACATGAAGAATTCTTATATTATTTGCTTGTTATTAAACTATTAAGGTGTTTATAAGGCAGAGACTTTTTGAATAAAATGTTACCTTAATAAGAAGTGACAATTTAAATCA